GAAAAATTAAGAAATATAAATTGTGTTTTCTTATATCTCTACATGGGCATTAATTGTTTTTACCAGTTTTAGCTTAAATCAGGACTATTCAGAGTAGCCAATATGTTTTGACAACATATAATTAAAATCTGATCTATGTAAGAAAAAGAAGGAATGGTTTTCTTTGAAGGGAGTGATTCATATATGAGGAAAATTTCCCAAAGTAGTACACAATATATAAATTGTTCAAAATGTACATGCTTGCTTCATGTAATTATGTTTAAGAAGGAATCATGGTCACCAAGGAAATAAGAAATTCTGAGGAACAAGATAAGCTCTATCTTCAATGAGTTCACCTAAAAAGAGCCATGAAAATGTCGAAGTAATTGCTATAGCTATAAATATACTAAAGATAGAAGAAAGAGACATAGTCTCCAGAATAAAATTATTGTTTTTATCAAAAACCATTTAAATGTTATGCCTCAGAATAAAATAGTTCTGAGATATGACCCTCTTACTCAAGGTGACTGTTGGGAGAAGGAAACAAAAAAAAATATTGCTGTCCCAGAAATGCCCCAGCACACAACTGAACAATGGTGGCCCTCTAGGATTTAGTGTAAACATAGTTTGGTAGGAAACATAATTGCTAAGGTTTGCTTTAGTACTAGAAAGTTAATGCATCAGTATACATATTAAAGAAAAACTTACTTTTTTTTGTGATCCAGAACCTACCTTGGTTCTGAAGTCTAAAGTGTTGTGATTCCCCGCTTAGAGTGGTCCTCTACTGTGTTGTGCTAGACAGACATTGGCCTCAGTGGGCGCTAGTCCACCTGTGAGTCACCTCTGACCTTTCTAGATAACCTAGTGTGCTTGGAACTGGAAACTTTCTCATCCAGTGTGAAGTGTGGAACATGTGTTTGGGAAACACGGGTTTCATTAGGCAGACATGGACACTGGAGTCACAGATATGGAATTTTCATAGACAGAGACTTTGTCTACTATCTGGGACATACACACAAAATATATATATATAAACTGGTAGTAAGTGATGATGGTCTTCCAATAAATCAAGTAGAGATGAATTTGTAATTTATGGGCTTATCTTCTATTTTGGACTAACAGCCTCAATTGACATGGCTTCCATTCATCTAAATCTATTCTACTGAGTAGTATTTTATATTGAGTGCTTTTTTTGTAGAATGACAAAATCATTCTACAAAATCATTGGTAATCTCAGTGTACACCATTTTGCTACTTTGAAAGTCTGAGAAAATTAATAGCTTAAATAGTATGCTCTATAAGCAGTTGGTTTTACAGTATGGATTGCAATTTTGTCCTTTTTTTTCTACAAATGTTTTTTCAGACACTGCCTTTATTTTATTTTAGATTATGTTAATTTTTTAGCAATTTGTAATATAATTTTTGGTTCTAGATGCCACATAATTATCATGAGTTTCCAAGAAGTTAAAAAAATTGTTGGGAAAATTTTAATTTTTCTTATTTGAAGAGAAACCTTAAAATGAAACAGATGATTTAGGGTTTCCATAATTTACAATAAGTTGTTTCCCAAAACAGCAATTTTTAAAACTTTATTTTATAAATAAATTTTATTTTAATGATATAGTATGTATATATTTTACTATGTAATTATCTTAACACTATATCAATAATATGAATAATGGCATTTTAAAAATAAATTGAAACTGAAGTCAAATATTTTCAACATTATTATTTTTTTAAGGTTAAGCTATCTTCTTGATATTTTGTGATTATAAAAACAGGTACTTTTCAAAAAAATTATTTCTAGTATTTTATATTCATCTATAATTCAGAATTATGAATGTAAAAAAGATATACTATCTAATTGATGAACATTAGGATATTTCACCACTTGCAATTACTTTATTTAGGATTTTCAACTTTTTGAAGGCATATAGTAATATGCATTTAGTAGAAAATATCTTCCAATTTTGATTTTTGATCTTTTTCTGAGCTAATGATATGGATGTGATAATCTTCAGTGTACTGTGTGGCTGAGCTGTAATAGGTTAGGTTATCAAATGCATTTTGGGTTTACAATGGGTTTTCAATCTTTTCCTATATTTAACTGTACTTTTATTTGAAAATGGTAGTATAATAATTAGAAAATAGAATACTTTATACAGTTTTACTCCACTTGCTTTAGGAAAAAATGGAATTATGTTTAAAATTTATTTGGGTGTATATGGATTTAATTTGGAGACAGATAGTTATTTTGTATCTACCACTTTACAAGAATAATTAGAATAGAATGTATTCATTTTTCTTGCTGCCAAAATGAGGGCCCCAGGATAAACTGTCCTATGCCATGGTATTATGAACCATAGTGGCATTACCATCTTCCATTTCTCTGAGAATTTGGTTATTTAAATTTGTATCTTCATTAATGCATGAATAAATATGAATAAATTATTTAACTCCAATATGTAGTTAAAACTATAAAGAAAACTTTTAAAACAAAATCATTCTGTTCCACATATTTTTATTAATACACAGGTAACAGTTTTAAAGTATTGACTTATTATATCTGAATATTTGTACTTACTCAGCATCCTGGGATGCTATAAATTGTTCAAAAATATGGCATTAAGCAGTTATAAAGAGGCTGTCTGCGGGTGGGTGCAGTGGTGCAGGCCTGTAATCCCAGCTACTCAAGAGACAGAGGCTGGAGTAGCATGACTTTGAGGCCAGAATAGGCACCATAGGCAACACAAAAAGACCTTGCCTTAAGATAAACAAATAAAAGAGTAAAATGAAAGGTGCAGCTGAAAGGTTATGATGGTATTGTTTGAATAAGAGGAATACAACTTATTAGTATTTTCAATTTTAATCATGTTAGCTCTTTAATAATTCACTATCATTAATGCTTTATTACATTTTATTATCTCATTATTACACTTTAATATATTAGAAAAATCTAGAAATAATTTCTTATGACAATATAATAATTATTCAAACATATTTTATGCACTCTTCATTGTTATTTTTAGAATATTCTGAGTTGTTGGTATATTTCACTTCTTATTCATTCCACCTCTCTAGGTGTTAATATGTTCTTTATTTAACTTTCTGTGTATTTTATATTTTGTCCATTTCAATGACTCCTATACCCTTGGATAATATGCAAGAACTGGTAGAAAATATATATATATTTTAGTAATAATAATGGTATACAATACCAGTGCTGTAAACTCTTTAAGGATAAAGATTGCAAGGTTCCTATCTATGAGTTCACTACTAGAGAAAAATAACAAAAACAAAAGCAACGATAACAAACACACTATAACAGCTCTAGACAGGTAAATAAGGCTGATGGTTTAGGACATACTCTGCGGGGAAGAGACAGTGGCCACTGCTGGGTAATACATTTCAATTGCAGGAACTCTGCTGAGGGTGGCCTAGTAGTATAAAATTCCTGTGGTCAACCACTTCACTTACCCATGCCATCTGCCTGGCAATGCCTGTCTATATTACCAATTTTCAAATTTCCCAAATGATTATTATTTATTTTCATCATTCCAGGAATTGAACTCAGGGGCACTTAACACCTGAATCACATTCCCAGTACTTTTTTTTTATTATTATTTTTATTTTTTGAGACAGGGTCTTGCTAAATTGCTTAGGGCCCAGATAAGTTGCTGAGGCTGGCTTTGACCTTGTGATCCTCTTGTCTCAGCCCCTGGAGTTGCTGGAATTAGAGGTGTGCACCACTCTGATTGATTCAAAAAATGATTATTCAGACCAATTTTGGTTTGGGGATTAAAAAAATTAAAATTTAAAAGCAGGATAGTACACTTAAGTGTTCACATAAAATATTAATTGAACTTTATAAGTCTTTATAACAAGCTATAAGAACTAGCAAAAAGTATGGTTCCACTAGCATTCACTATTATCTCTTTTAAGAATCAGTTCTTTCTATTTATATTTCCAAATTTCTGATTTTAGCTCAAGGTGTGCTAGGAGTTTTAGAGATTTTTAGCAAGGTCATCATGGGCTGGGGGAGGGGTGGGGACTTTGAAATGATTAGTACCATGTAGCAAGGGTAGGGTTCTGTATATAATCCTACATGAAACTGGGGCATTTTCAATTTTTCTTTTTTTAAACATTTTAAATAATAAATATATTGCCTGTCGGTCTGGAATAACAGACCAGACATTTGATGGTTACCCAATTGTGTCTTCCATCTCTACTGAATTGCCTTAGGAAGACAAAAGGAGACAACGAAAAAGGAAGGGATTGGGGTGGCAAGTAAGTCAACAACAACAACAAAAAAGTAGGTAAAAATAGTCTGTACTTATTTTGATTAGACCCTATAGATTTAGCATTGTTTCTATATAAATCAAATGGAAAGTGACAATTGATTTTCTATTAGCAAATGCATGTTTGAACAAAGACTTTGTGTCATCTATGTCATTTAACTAAAAGTGATATTCATTTTTATTTTGTTTCCAGTTTATTTCCACGATATAGCACAAGAAGAAATGCTTCCTCTGAAGACTTATTTTAACTTCTTATAAAATGTTGTTCATTAAATTGTCTTAAAGTAAATGTTGTGCAGTAGTTGAGATCCTGGCTGGAAGTATTTCAAAATATACTTTTTTTGTCTAGAGTTGAATTTCCATTTTGTCTCTTCCCTTGTCTATTAAAATAAATTGAATAGCATATGATTTTAAATTACAAAATACAGAAAATTCATCTCTACATCTTTGATAAACAATCACTGAACATAGTTTGGAAACAGGCTTTGATTTTTCATAAATAAAAAAAACTGTTAAATATTTTTCAACATGATGAAATTTGGAGTAATTATCATAGTCAATTAAAATTGGTGTTTCATATGCAATGATTTAATTGCATATTTAATTGCATCTAGATAGAATATTAGTATAATTAATATACTAAATATCAATCCTCATAAAATTTGGGGGATCTTACATTATCCTTGCTATACTCATTTATTTATTTGTTATTTATCATTTCAGATTAAAAAAATCAACAGAAATTTTCCTGTAAACCAGCAGGTAAGAGGAAGTAATATTTCAAAAAGTAAATCATGTATATCTTTAATTATATCATTCATACAAGATAACCTTAATGCCATCTGATTTTTACACAAAATAATTAGTAATATAATTTCTACTTTCAGAGAAAATGTAAATTTGAACACTTATTTGATGATGTGTGTGTTTCTTCACATTAAAAAATGTGTTTTAGAACTTGTATCTGCATAAACTAAGGCAAAATTATGTTTTGACAAAATAATCAAATTTATCTATATACATTGTTGAAGAACTTGGAGGACTGTTTCCAAAAGATAGTTTTAGTACATATTTATTTTTGGAAAACATATTTAAATTTGATCTCAAAGTTCAAAGGATTCTCACAAATTGTTGACAGTATTTCAAATGAATCCAAATTAATTCAGTTTAAAAATAATGTCTGATTGATCAAAGCTTTATAAACTTATTATTCTGGACATCAATTTTGATTTGAAAACATTGATCAAAGTAGAAATTTCTAAGACAGCTATGTTTACATGATAAGATTAATTAAAATCTATTTGCAACTCACCAATCAATTTCAATGTAAAAATTTTCTTCAACTTGTAAAAAGTGAAGTTCATATCTAAATTTCAGTTCACTTCTCTGTGACATTTGCATGGATAATTATCTTTCAAGTTTATTTTAAGGATTAAATGATAAACACATTTAAGTGATCAATATATGCTATTATTCTCATTAGTGTTTTCTGATTTCTAAATTTGTTCTTTGGTATACAGAATTTATGTCTTGTAGAAATCATGCTCTTATTGCTATTGGGAGCTTAGGCTAGCTCTGAAACCTTGTGTAACTGTCAAAGATCTATGAGATCTTTTTATCTGGGGCATTCCATCCTTCCTTTCTTGGAGACCCACTTAATTAATATTTTGGACAGGTGCCAATGTTGAAGGGATATATATCTCACCACTTTTCCCATGAAAAAATGATTGTATTCTGGGAGCTTATTTACAGTGCAGGAACCAGAGCTCAAGCCAGAGCCTCTGACTCATCAACTCTGAAGATACCCAGAAACCCCTCTCTGTAGCTATAGTCATGTTCCAGGTGACTGACGCAGGTAGTACACAGTGACATCTTGAGAACAGCAATTTAATGATTTCATACAGCTCTGATAGTGGGCCAATACCATTAATGAGAAGTTATTCAAATAAAAAGAAGCATCAGCTATGGGAAAAGATTGTAATGCGCATCAGATGATGCAACAGTTTTATAGTCAGATATTTTAAAAGGAAGATCTATGGTTTTTGTGAATTCTTGCCAAAAATAGAAATGATGGATGTTTCTTTGATTTAAGAATGACTTTAAGATCTATATTATCACCCTCAGTTGCTCTTTTTAACCTTGACATGTGAAATATTAATAATAGGTTTGATTTATTTTACTATGAGTGTTTTATAGCTCTGATAAACCCACAGCCACTTTTGTATATACAATGACAACCACATGTTAACACATTTTACTAAGGCACAATAAAATTTTTAAAGGGTTTGTTTGACTAAAAAGCAATTCATGAATTGGGTAATATTAAATTGAAAGAGATTTAGTGTTCACATGACAAAATTTCAGGAGCAAGTCTTTGTGAGCAGAAATGCAGTAGGAAAGTAGCACTGCCTTATTGAGTCTATCCTACTGGAAAGTCCCCAGTTACTTGAGTCTTTTAGGCTAGTTATAATTGGTTTATCTTAAGTTTTGTTTATCTCCAATATAGAATTTTATAAGAAACAGATCAAATAACTTTATTTATGTTTGCAAATCAAGTAAGGTGAGCTGAATGCTTTTCTACTGAGAGATTCTTCAGGTACTAGTCATTTTATTTCAACACTGTATAGTTAGCTCACTATCTAGTAAAAATTCCTGTTACTTCTGCTTTTATCCAGATTTAGAGTGATACTGTATGAGCTGAATGAGAATCTGAATGAAAATTGCATATAGAACAAATAACAAAGCGGTTTAATATTCTAACACCCATATACATATATAATATTCCAACAAATATTTATATGTAATAAGCACAAGTGTGCATTCGTATGTGCATTAGTTTATTTTTCATTACTATGACAAAATACCTAAGGTTGGGTAGTATACAGCAAGAGTTTCAGTTATCTCACAGTTTGAAAGCTGAAAGTCCATGACTGTTTGGCTCCATTGATTCAGTCATTGGTGAGGTCCTTGGTCACATGATACTCTGGCAGATAGTTTCACAGCAGGATCAAGTTCCAGGGGGAGAGATCACATAGTCAGATTAGAAGCCAGAGAAAGATTCAGAGGCCAGCTTGCTGTTTTATGATACTCTCATGAGTATTAATCAGGGTCCAAAATGTACTATATTAATTCCTTCAGAAGACAGCACTCCCAATGACTTAATTACTTCCTGTTAGGCCCCACCTCTTAAAAGCTCCAAACTATCTTCCAGCACCACTACACTGAAAATCATGTTCTCCAGTAATGAACTCTTTGTGGACAAACTTATATTCAAGTAAGAGCAGACTTAATAAAGTTTTTATTTTAATATTATTAATTATACTGAAATTTAATCTTTAATCTTAGCATCTCACAATTTTGAAAATCATAATGAATTATTTTTGGCATGTTAAAAAGCCCAAAGAAGAGTTAAATGGATTTTTTATTCACTACTTTCCACTGTATAAATGAAGAATTTTGGGAAATAAAATTAGTTTATAGTTCAACATTCATATATATTCATGACAGGAAAAACTCACCTGCAAAAATGTGATAACAATATCTTGGGAGAGTGGGGTATATTCCTTGCTTAATAAAATGTGAACCATCTAAAGAATTGGGATAAAAAATGTATAATCCTATTTCTGATCCAGATTTAGTCTTCAAACAGAGCTTTTGCCTTGGAATTAGCACATTGGGTGGCTTTCATTACAAAGTTTTTCTTAACAATTTTCACATAAATTTCTAAAAGTTAGCTTATATATAAATATGCACATATACTTATGCTTATACATAGCTTTTGATTAAATAATACAAAATATGTTACAATAATTGTTATGTTAAGAGATGTGCAATGAAAAGTCCCTTTATAATCCTGAGATTCTGTTATAAGTACCAAATAGGAAAAAAAAAAAAAAAATGAATGCAAGGTATAAGATCAGATCATTCCTCTGCTTTCTATGAGATTTGGTTTTGAATGTATGCTCAGCAGGTGACTTTTACCACAACCTATGTTAAGTTAAAATAAAACAAAACATAAAAGGAACTTAACAAAGTCACTGCTGACCATTAAAAGGAAGTGCTGAGCACCAGTTCTGTGGGGACTCCCCCCCAGTCCAGAATACATGAGCTTCCAGTGAAACTACTCCCATGGAACAACAGGTCTGCATACAAATTATAAACCATTTGAGGAAATAGTCCATGACCAGGAAAAACATCATGTAGAGATTAAAGGAAAATTCAAAAGATTTTTTAATTCTTTTTTTTTTTTTTAGTTGTACATGACAGTAGAGTATATTTTATACAAACCTTGAGTATGTCTTATTCTAATTAGGATCTCAGTCTTGTGATTGTATGGGATGTGGAGATTCACTGTGATGTACTGATATATGTACATAGTAAAATAGCAAAGTTAAGTTGTTTTCATCCCATTATTTTTTTTCCTATTTCCTGTCCCCCTTCCATTCCCTTCATTCCCCTTTGTCCAATCTACTGATCTGTTTTTCCCCTTCTTCCTTGTTTTCTGTTAAATCCACATATTGGAGAGAAAAAAAGATTTGCTTTTATGTTGTTTTTTTTTTTTTAATAAAGGAATTCAAATTGTAAGACATGGGCTCTAAAATGTACATCTGCAAAAGAACCATGAAGAAATTTTAAAATGGGGGGGGGGGGAAGTTGCTTAAATTAATATCTATTAACCAATTGACTAAATTTGATTATGTGTCCACTGGAAATTCTCATAGTGTATTTCTGAGTTCACTTTATTAGCATTTTAAAAATTTCTTTATGCATCTGGGATACATCATCTGAATTCTCTATTAAGAGCTTGATCAGGTTCATTTATACGGTGAACATACTGAAATTCAGCTTCTGCTGATAACTATTTATTGAAAAGCATGGAAGGGGACAGACAGAGGTCTTGCTGTTAAATTAAGCAGTGATAGTACATTACTGTAAAATCTTATCATGATAGTTTTCTCAGAGTTTTAGAGATCAGTGCATACAGGTCTAGATAACCAAATTTATATCACATATGGTATGAACCATCATTTTTCATATTTTATTGCATTTATCATTTTTACTCATTCTCACTAAAGTCCCTCTAGCCTGAAATCTACCTTTCAAAACTGGAATTTCAATTAGCTTCTAGATAATTAATTAATCATTAAAATATCTACCTCAAGTGCTCTTATACCAGACATTTTATTATATAATTGTCATTTGTAATAGTTGGAAAAAATAAAGAGATGTAAAAAAAGAATATTATCTCAGATATCTAATCATAAGGAAATATTTATGTTTGACTCTACATAATGTGGAGAATTTAAATATATACATACAAAGCTGGAAGACAGAAGGATAAAAGATGGCTCAATGTCTCAAAATGTGTGGGAGAGGATTAAGAAATTAAAGGACATTATGAAAATCTATGTGAAGCAACAAAGAAGAAAGAGGATTAAGGACCTCCAAAATTTAGCTTTTCCAGTCAGTCATGATGAAACATACCTGGTATCCTAGTTACTCTAAATTCTGATGCAGGGGGATGGCAAGTCCCAGGATAGCCTGAGCAAATTAGCAAGACCATATGTCAGAATTTTATAAAAGGGCATAGCTCAGCAATAGAATGCTTCCCCAGCATGGATAAAGCCCTAGGTTTAATTTCTAATACATCCCCTCTCCAAGATAGCTTCTCCATAAAAGAAAAATATTGGTGGAAATACTCCAAATCAGCTTTTCTCAAATAAAGCTACTCACCAAAAGCCTCCTTCTGAACATAGGGAGCA